TCAAATAAATAACGAAAATACAGGGCTGACTCCAAGCTATCATAAGTGCCGTGGTCCATTGATTTAAGTTTAAAAGCCGTAATTTCGTAGTCTGCCATAGCCATAGGTCGTAGGAAGAGCTATCACAGATTAGCTCCACAACAGCGTCTCTTTCACTGGCACTTGACAAATATCATAATCCTGAATTACTTGTCGGAGTTAGCCTTCTAGCTCTACTCAAGCATCCAGAGTAATCTCGATATGTCACGTGCTTTGTATGCAGGGGCCTACACACAAACTAGATAGATTCACTCTCTCAAAAGAATACATCATCCGTTTATTGATTATTTGATTGTCACTACTTTATCATTAAATATTAGGCGTTGTCTTAACACAGCACTAACCCTCTTCTGTGTGGGGGGGCAGGGGGCGGCGCTTGGCAGTATCAAACCTTAGAAATCCATGTTTATTATCACCACATTCGGTTGACCACTGTGTACATACATTAGCATTACCTCACCAAAGTGTTCTGCACAAGGAGTATTCTACCGAAAACTCGAGTATCCGATATGATATGTACGGTGCCACCGGTTCTGTGCTAGCTTTCGTTTATCTTTATTAAACACGTGCATTCACTGATGAGGTGCTCGGGCATATCGACAGCTAATACGAATAGTCTCTGCGACAGTCTGCCAATCGAAGCTCAGCCTGAGTCTAGTCGCATTGTTTTGATTAAAAGCCTGCCCTCTGGTAAGAAGTCTGTAAGTCCTTTCTCGTTAACCTTCTAAGATGACCCCCAAACTTAATCGGTGTGACAAACAGTGATGGTTTATTGGAAAGGATGTAAGGCCAATGGAGGTAGTCGACGCCGCATATGGTGTGTTGCACAACTTCGGAATCCGGTGTGAATTAATCAAAATTCATAGTGCTCAGTCTCGTCGTCCCGATTACCTTGTTCTCTACAATTTGAGAATAGGGTTGGAAATCAAGAGGCTTTGCTTTCTGTTGAAAATATAATATTCCATGACCTTCTCTATTACCTCCTCGCTCTCAAACGCCTTCTTTTATTCGTGTTCGCGATGACTCATTTTCACAAAGGCACCCTCTTTGGGATAGTTATCGCAGTGCTTGGACTTGCGCCTACAGTCATCGAAAGCAAAAGCGAAGATGTGTCGCCCTATCCTATCAGTGCTTCTGTAGGGTACTTTAATTTCACCATCCATGATAATCGATTAAGACTCTGGGATGCCAAAGTAAATCAATCTTCTCTTCGACCACGTTTGGAAGACCTCTACCACCTTGTAGAAGACTACAGGTCCAATTATACTGTCGCCCCTTCCGAGGAAGAACAGTCTCGGAAGCTGAACAAATTATTCAAGCAGATTCTGCCGGGAGAGACATTTCAGAATTATGCCGAGGTGCTTTTAAATTCCTCACGTAAAGATGTGAAGTATCGGCGCAAAAAACCCAAAGGTCCTAACCCTGATATCACCGGGAGTTACATGAACGCTATATCAAACATGTCACTTCAGACCCAGCATTATATTCTGGGCGCCTACATGGGCATGGGAAAGTCCGTCCCCTGCTCCGAGTATATCAACGAGGTGATCAATAGCAAAGATGAGTGGGAAAAGATGGGTTCCCAAGCTGCAACGACCCTCATGACACTTCTTCCAACGTTCCTTGCTTTTGGAAATTTGTAAGTTCCATCGGCTACCTTACAGAAGTCCTTCAGTTTCAATAAACTGACGTTATCTTTCCCAAGATATGTGCCGCGAAGTTCGGAAGCATACGCTACAAGCGCATTAGTTGGACTCACGACTGCATTTTTTACATTCGGGCTACCTGCTAGGAGTGTAGGTCAAATCTTCCATTCTTGCCGTCATATTCTCTATTCAGACAGTTCCACAACACCTCGATTAGGCCATGCAGCAAACGCACCGAATGCCTAACAGATCAATAATTTTAAAGAATAAATGGAGTCCAGACTGGGGCGGGGGGAAGTTTCCTTTACCATAGCTTGGGCCAAAAGAACCGTTGAAGGCCGCTCGTGGCGAACGGGGAGGGAAAGAAGAGCGTGCACGATTTTTTCCACCACCTGATCAAACTTCTCTCGAGGGCGTGCTAATGACAGACAGATGTCTGCCGTAAAACAATCGAACAGTCATAACCTTGGTGTCCTCGGGATTGCAGCACTTGCATTTATAAGCACTTTGGGAAAACGGAGGAAAGATGGGACAGCAATCCCACATAAATTGGCCGACTTGCAAAGCTGGTCTGATGATGAATCTTTGAACTTGAAGAGTTGGTCCGACTACCATAATCACGACGTGATTAAGGTAAGGTTTGGCGCAATCAAAGCCCGGGTTAACGGGTGGCAAAAACGGTGGCATTTCTGGCATATACCAGCTATTCTGGTGGCTGCGGTTCCAATGAACATCTTCGGTTGGGGAATATACCCGTTGTTCCAGAATCTCGGCGTGCCAAAGTTCATCTTGAGATGCTACTGGGAAGATGCGTGGGAGTAAGTACAATATCTTTCATGTCCAAGCCATCTAGATCTACAATCGATACCAGTGTGGACCACTGACAAGCCTTTAGCTGGACTGGATTTTACCTGGGTGCCAGTGCTGGGGTCAATACTATCATTCGGTATCTTCTATGGAAGGCCAGCCACCATGAGCAGATGAAAGGTAAGCATGCCGTGAAGCGCCAGATGTCTCTAGTCAAAACAATGATATCCAGTTTACTAATGGGGCAACATAGTGTATTCTCTTTCCGGGTCAGCTCAAAAAGATCTCAACCAACTCATCTCTGCCACCGATATTGGTGAAACTACAGCGACCCATCTACCACCCCTTCAGCCCCTCCCTTTCGTCTACATTCGAACACTCATCTCAGGTCTTTTCGGCCGATGCAGGGGAGCCAAAGCGCACCACCCACGGGCACAGGATATTTTTCTGCGCCCTCTCAAGCTCATACGACGCCGCTTCTTGTATATCACTAAAGGTTTCAACTTCTGCGACGTCATTCAGGCCGGTTTCATGGTTTACACCAAGTCCGGACGCCGCTGGCGCCCCATCTACATCCTCATCCACTTTTCGCACATAGGCCACAATCCCCTGTCCACACTCGTGGCCGGCTTCATTGAAGGAGGCCTGCTTCTCGTGCTGACATTTTTCTTCGCCGCCCAATGGGGTGGAAATCTGGTCTTTACCATGATCGCGCTCTCCCTCTTGCTCGTTTTCGTGACCATCGGCCGATTCCTGAGCTTTCTGTATGTGTGGCTGAGTAGCCAGATATGGGGTCTGACCGTGCTGGAGTGTGACAGTGTGGATGAGATTAGAGGCGTGATGCGCATCTTGTGCAGCATGGAGGGAGTGTTGGTGGCTGTAAATGGAGCAAAGTATTTCGGGGTTATCGAATGGACGGCCGAGCCGGGTTCGATAAGTTTATTGAGGACTACGAGAGGGGAAAGTTTGATGACGACCCCCCTAGTACTTCCTCTCTGCAGCAGCTACCAACTCTGGAAAGGACACCGGCGTAATAGAAGATACTTCAAGTGAATAGGACAAGCGTACTTCGTCTATGGCCAAGAGGGGCGAAGTGACTAATCAAAGGTAAAGAAGGGTGATTCTTTAAGTACAGAATCTGGCACTAACTTCGGCGGGAGAGAGTGGACATGATCTTGTTTGAAACTTAGGAATAGTATCGTGGAGTAAGGTCAAGCTTGACCCCAGGATTCTCAGCCTGAGTATTCCGTTCATGGATCATGTCGAGCTATCATATAAGTTAGTGAAAATAATAGAAGTTTCTACGCAGAAGAAAAAAGGTAACATCCATTGCACCAACTGGTGAGGGTAGAGGCTTGCATCATATCAAGGTCAGGACAAGGTTACTCGATGGAGGAGGAATGAGGGGGAAGAAAATCAAAGGAGTCGACATGAAATTACAAACGAAGGTAGGGGGCTGGGGAACATTGGGGTTGTACTGCCATCCATCAATGGGGGTTGCTGCCGTCATACGATCATTAAGTGAAGGTGTGTCAAGTTCGACCTCGTCATCCCACCGGACAGTGATAGGAGCACTAGCTGCGCTGCTCATCCATTTCAATCATGTCTTAATGCTCTCCCTCTATTCTCCTTCCGACTCTCTACTATGCTCCTGCTGCTCTAGGCCTCACTTCCCACCCCCATCCGCACCCACCCCTTCACGCTCCATTCCAGTCATAGAATGTACCATGGAGTTGGGGGTGGGGGCTTCTCTAGTCGTTGTCCCCATCTTGGTGCGCCGAGTACAGTGAGGAAGCATTGAAGGTCCTCAAATGAAGCAACGGCCCCTTGCTCCTATTCCAACCTGTCTCTTCCACATGAACCCAGCCAGCACGTAGCATGTCGAACCAAGATTCATGGGCCGTATCAATCAATGCTAATATAATGTAAAAACTAGACTGATTGGATACTCCAAGCCGGGAACATCGATTAGGAGCTTAGAGGTAGACAACGCAGGTAAAGAAGAATGGAGTAAGGGGTATATGTATACAACTGCTTTGAAAAAATTTATATTCTTAAAGTTATAGCTCCTAGTTTTATTTCAATAAAGAGGAGTTGGAAGTTGGAAATGAGCCGCACGGCCCACTTACAATATAATCCAAACACGAGAACTAGATACAAACTGATCCATCCCTCAGCTTTGAAACTTAGAAGAAATATCAGCCGGCTTTTGAAGATGAACGAATCTTGCGCTGCCCATTCCGGCGAGGGGAAGACCAGTAATTGTCAAAAACCCTCTGATCTGCCGACCATCTCATGAGGTTCCAGCTCGAGAAACAGCATCCACCTATGCTCCTTCATTCCCCAAAAATCAAGCCGTCCACGAGTTCCATGTGCCTTCAACTATTATTAATTAATAAATAAATAATCTTAAAAAGACCTCGTGCATACCGCACCCCGTCCTGGCATCGCCAACCACCAATAAATACTACGGAAAATTCCCAAAGCCAAATAAAAAATAAATATATCGGGCCTGACCGGGATTCGAACCCGGGGCCTGTCACATTGTAAATCTCTAAGAGATTCAGGCGCGGAACTCCCGAAGCGACAATCATACCACTAGACCATCAGGCCGACTGCAATTGGATGAAAGAAAAGCCAAGCAGTACTCCTTATAACCATGTGTTATGGTCCCACTGCGCTGCATTGAGTCTAACTTATCATGGTTAACCAACATGGGGAAAGTTTATGACAAGGAAGTGAGCGGACTTTAGCACTGATTCTGACACATCACAAGCATGCACAACACCAGGAATACATTCATACGTTCAACCAGCTGGGTGTGGAAACCCAACCTTTTTCTTTGATTCTCAGCCGGTAATACCGGCGCCCAACTATTACGATCTCATTGATGCAGAGCTCCACCAACTACCCAAGATATAACCAGTGCACGACTTTCCCGCGCCGCCACCGTCTAATACAGTGGGAAAAAGGGGAAAATCACCTCTATAATGCTCTCAGCCAGGTTGAAGGGCCAAGATGGTGATTTGATGCAGCAACGCCTTTTATAACCGGATCCCACCCGCACCATAAATGCAATGATATGCCGTTGAAGACAAATCGAAACTTTTTCTCGAGAGTGGTATCATCCCAATTCATAACGTCGTGTTGAAACCTGCCGTTAACCATGCGAACAAAGGAAATCTAGTAGCGGTAGATGTCGCTCTTGAAAGGTCCCTCGATGGGCAGACCAAGGTACTCGGCCTGGACAGGAGTGAGCTTGGAGAGCTTGGCGTTGACGTGCTCCAAGTGGAGAAGAGCGACCTGCTCGTCGAGGATCTTAGGGAGAACATAGACACCGACGTCGAGCTTGCCGGTCTTGCCGAACTCGATGTACTTGTTGCCGAACTCCTCGTCACCGGCCTTGAACAACATGATCTGGGCAAGGACCTGGTTGGTGAAAGAGCAGGACATGACGAAGGAAGAGTGGCCAGTGGCGCATCCCAAGTTGACCAGACGACCTTCGGCGAGGAGGATGATGTGGCGTCCGTTCTTCATCAGGAAGCGGTCGACCTGGGGCTTGATGTTCTGGACAGACTGAGCGTTGGCCTTGAGCCACGCAACGTCGATTTCGATATCGAAGTGACCGATGTTGCAGACAATGGCATCGTTAGGCATGGCCTCGAAGTGCTTGCCAGTGAGGATATCACGGCAGCCAGTCGTGGTAACGAAGATCTGACCCTGGGAAGCAGCCTCCTCCATGGTGGTGACCTGGTAGCCGGAAACGGCGGCCTGGAGGGCGTTGATGGGATCGATCTCAGTGACGATGACACGGGCACCCATGCTGTGGAGAGCCTGAGCACAACCCTTGCCGACATCACCGAAACCAGCAACGACAGCGACCTTGCCAGCAATCATGACATCGGTGGCACGCTTGATACCATCGACGAGGGACTCACGGCAGCCGTAAAGATTGTCGAACTTGGACTTGGTGACGGAGTCGTTGACGTTGATGGCGGGGACGAGGAGGCCATGCTCCTTGTCCTTCAACATCCGGTAGAGATGGTGGACACCGGTGGTAGTCTCCTCAGAGACACCATAGCAATCCTTGAGCATCTCAGGGTATTTGCGGTGGACAAGGGAGGTTAGGTCACCACCATCGTCGAGGATCAAGTTCAACTTCTGGCCATCCTTGAAGGCAGTGAGCTGCTGCTCCAAGCACCACTCGTATTCCTCCTCAGTCTCGCCCTTCCATGCAAAGACGGGGACACCGGTAGCAGCAATGGCGGCAGCGGCATGGTCCTGGGTGGAGAAGATGTTGCAGCTCGTCCAGGTGAGCTCGGCACCGAGGGCCTTGAGGGTCTCGATGAGGACGGCGGTCTGGATGGCTATGGGGTTGTCAGTCAAAAGCAGGAGAATAGAGGCACGGGAATCATACTCATGTGGAGACATCCAGCAATACGGGCACCCTTCAAAGGCTGCTCAGCAGCATACTTGCTCCGGGTAGCCATCAGACCGGGCATCTCATTCTCGGCCAACTCGATCTCACGGCGACCGAACGCCGCGAGGGAGATGTCAGCGACCTTGAACTTGTGTGCGGGGGCAGACATGATGGGCTATGGAGGAAGTTTGAAGGGATAAAAAGGTGAGAATGGAGGAGAATTGAGGTGAGAGAATGAGGGATGGAGGAGGCGAGTGAAAGAAAGGCGGTTCGGCACTTATTTGTAGTCTCAGTTGTTAGAGCCCCGCGGCCCCCGCCACAAAATTCTGCCCTCGAAACTCCGCTGCGAACCAACGGAGTTGCCGGTAAATCTTCGGTTCAAGGTCTGGAACTTCATATCCCTGCCTTCACAACACCTATTGCCGGCAAGAATAGCAATGGATTAGCTCCAATTGCAAGATACATCTCTTCATGCTCTGAAGTTTCTCCACACTCTCCACACACGTCCATGACCGGGTCCGTCATCGGTGTTGCGTTTGAAGTCGGAGGTCGGAAATCAAAAGACCCTGCTTCTGCTTACGATTATCCGAGACGAACCCATTGGTAACCCGATGCCGAGAGACCTGAGTACGATGTGTTGGGAGGCACGCTTTGTAAGGTCCCTTAACCGCGACCATCCTTCTCTTTCTCTGCTCTCGGACTTTGAAATACGAGATGCCTAGTGACCTAACCCGGATATTGTCTCTTAAGGGGCTGTGTTGGGGTCGGCAGTTGTAGATAAGAAGTGAATCGAAGTACTTTTTACCGTAGACAAGCATATAAGCCGAACTCGTTATAAATTGGAAGAATTCAAGATCAACAGATGGAGCCCGTATCTGAGAAGACAATTGCTTACATCAATTCCCACCCCCCTCTCTCACTCTTACCTCTCCCAACCCCGAGATATAATCCCCCCCATCCCCCTTCCCCCACCCCAACCAAATACCCATCTGCAGGCATACCCAAGTTCGATAAAACATTCCCTTACATGCTTCCATCTGACACGATAACACAGCGGCATGTCTCTTTGCATGTTCTGAAACCCGCAGATGGGTCCAATACATTTGATCGTGACACGGCGGCTGAAAAAAAAAAACGGGGATGCGGCTCGCCGAGTAGTGGAACGTAGTTCTATCATTGCAGAAGGGTAAAAGAGTCTTGCAGATGTTGTGAGAGTGTCAATACGAACGTCACTCCGATGTTTGCTGGCCTGAAGATGGCGTGAACTAGCTTCCAACACCAGAGTATCAGTCACAACCGAGTAGAGGCACATCTATATGTCGATATAACTCGCGCAGATGTTGTCAAGAGTGCTAAAAGGGTCGGTCCAGTCCCCTAAATAAATATTATGCCAATAGCAAGCTTAATCTACATTGTATGTACTGCAGGCAGTCAACCATCATTCCGCCCTGCAGTAAAGCTCGTCCTGCCGATGCCATACTAATGCTGAACTCATCGGTCCATGACGAACAAAGGAGAAAGCCTACAAGGTATCAAACAAAGAGAACGAAGAACAGCCCATGGGACCTAAGGTATTGCCTTTTCCAAATGGAGAAATATGGCCACAGAATGATATGAAAAGGCCGGTGTTGTTTATGCCTGATGGGGAATCCCGGATATGAAGATGTTTTAGAAGAAAACTCCGCCCATGTAAAAAGAATACGGTCTTAATGTTAACGCAAACCGATGACACTCTTGAACGTAGGTTAGCTATAAACTCAAGGCAGTTGAATCGAAGGGCATACCATTTCCAGCGTCCATACGCGCCGAATCCAAACCTTTAACTTTCCCTCGACACCGTCAACACCTTCCAGCTCAACTCCCTCCCACCAGCATCGACGGGCGGGCTTCCTCCAGAAGAGTAGGAGTTTTTGGGCCATTCCTACGGCGTTGTTGTTCGCGAGGTCGCTGCCTTTTATATCCGTCCTCAGGCGTGCAAGTGCAATGCTGCAGATGACTGCTTTATTGGGTTCACTGGCGCGATGCCCCCAACGATCATCATGATTGAAACCACTAAAGGACAACATTAGTTTTTCATGGCAATTGGAGGATGAACATTACAAACCCAGCTGTCAACATCTCAATAAGATGCTGTTCTGTTGTTCCTGGCTCCTCGCTTTTGCGCAATCCCGAGAAGATTCCGTCCTGCTTTAGCAGCGCTTTACCAGCAGCTCGCTTGACCTCAATCATTTCGGTCTGTTCGATATCCCGTTGGGGTGGGATGACGTAAAAGTCCAAGTCCTCCCTAAGCACGATGATACCGGCCCGGTCCTGCAACATGTCCCTTGCAGATCCTTGCATAGGTTCAATAGGAACCGCTTCTACAGGATGTTCCGGGAGTGCAGTAGGGGAAGGGGGCGAGGTAGGGATGGTCTGGGCTACATGTCGAAAGAAATCTAACATGTATTGCAGGGAATTGGGATCGTACTGGGAAGAATAGATTGTGTCAGATAAATATAATGCAGGGTTGGAGAGGTGATAGAGAATCATTTGTATGGAATTGTTGCGTGCGTTTTGATAGACGGGGGAAGGAAATGCAGTAGAACCAACATCGACTGGATATACATCACCATCGTGATATGGATTCATGTGACCATCCGGGAGAAGGCCATTGGGGAATAGCGACAGAAGGACGAACTCTGGCAACGTGAGTAGTTCGTCTCGAGAGAGCGTGAATCGAGTTCCTCTGCACTGACTGTAAGCCCTGGCATTCACGGTTTCCAATGGATTATCCTTACCGAAGTTCCAATGTGATGTTTTCATCCGACCCTCCTAGGGTGTTTATTGGTGGCCCACCGCTCTGTTGTGAGACCTGAGTTATTATGCTTGCGGGACCTCCTGCAGACGCCATCACGTAGGTGAACGACTCGAGCGGGCTAGATCCTTCACTATATGGAGGTGGAGGTTCACCGTCGTCGATATCCTTGCTACTGGAACCGTCTTTGGTGTCTCGTGGGAGCGCGGCTTTGGTTTCTGCAACGGCGGTGTCGGCTGCAGAAGAGGAGGATTCGGTGAATGGGGGCGCGGGTGCGAATGCAGGAGGATACTCGCTTCGTGAGTTTTCGTCGCAGACCTTGTTATGGTCCTCGGCGCCGTCCTCGGGGGGAAAGTAGAGGGAGGAGAAAGGAGGAGGATAAGGTGATTTGCCGGCGGT